AACTTAAGGCAAGTTAAAGGAACTACAAAGGATACATATATGACAATAAAAGCATGCTCCAAGCATCTAATGAAAATGTGAGGATGCTATAGAAAACTTCAGCAACATGTAACCACAAGAAGACGTGAGGATGCAATATAAAAATTCAACAGATTTTGACCAAAGAATGGTGTGAAAATGCAACAAAATGTAGCTACTCTCAAATTTGACCATAAAAATACAGAGTAATTATTTCAATAGACTGACTTAAATTATTGTTTCTTTACTATATACAGTTAATTCTGGGAGTATGGAATATATTCCAAAGGCAAATCTTTGCAAAATCGCACGTCGTTCTTTGTGAGCTAAATTTACCGAAAGGTGTGTTTAAAAAGAATGGCTTGAATTATGTTTTTACAAAACTAAATTGAACCATTGTTCCTGCTTTTGATAGTTTTCAAATTTGACCACCTCTAGAATAACACTACGAAAATTGATGGTATAGAAATTTTTTCTTTAGTTTGTGGATATGAACACAATTTAGAAACACGTGGAAATATCACTTTAGTATATTTTATTAATCTTTTGTAACGAGAAAATATTGTTAACTCTTAACCTCGTATTCTGAGTTTTACAGAAGCTGAAGATAGAATATGGAAAGCAATTTCAACAACACTTCAAACTTCGTCCACTAAGTAGAAGCCGATAAATGTTATGATGGATGTAAGGATGTCAGTGATGCCTGTGGTCTGTTCATAAAATTCCATCTTTTTGTGCACTAAATCGTAAAGCTCAATTTCGAATAAAAATCATATGTTACATGCTGGAAAATTTATAAACGAAATTTACAAAAGTACCGTTGACATAATTATGAATCCTAAAGTAATATATTTAAACAATAATTAAGATCATGAGAGGCGTAATTGAATTGAGAATTTGTATACCCACTTGTATAACTCTTATAGTTGCGGTTAGATGGCAGTGTGATAAGTAGTTTTCGCCTCTTCAGGTATTGCATTAGGTAACAAAAACAAAGAATCTCTACAGTCAACTATTTTAATAAGCAACTGTACAAATCGCAAATAATACCTTGGTGTGAACAGTCACAAAATAACACGTAACCCTTGATATTTCAATATGACATTTTTTAATGAAATAAGGGCGTCAGCGGATTATTCATTCTGCAGTAGCTGTTAATACAATTATTTTGCTGTTTAGTTTCTCAAGACGGCTATCTAAACAATTACTTTTAAATTCAAAGACACACCAAGAACCAACATCGATATATATATATATATAAGATGATGTATATACTCCAATATTTCGGGGCTGAAATGACATCAGTTCCTTACATGTTTTATATTCTACATGCAACCTTACTATCTAAAAAAATACACTACAACTTTGTTGTAGAATTAAACTGTAAACTCTGTGACTAACTCGAACCACATAATGAATATTAACTCTAAAGTAACTATATTTAAGAAACAAATATTTACAGCTTTATGTAAAATAAAGATTTTCATCGGCGTCTTATCTACATTTTATAACAACAATCACCAAAATTTGTTAAACATCTAATGAAAATAAATCCAACACTTCATCAAATATTAATCAGATAAATGTAACTTTTCACAATACTGAAACACTAATTTGGTATTTTATATAATGAAAACGAGTACTTTTTGTGATTAGTAATCAAATGGTCTCTAATCATGAAGTACTCTGAAGTTAAGGTAGCACTGACTTTTAAAACTGGGCAAATTTACATGCTGAGAAAACACTTTAAGCACTTCTTATAACCTTCAAGTTGAACACAAAACAAAAGTATGATGTCACAATTTCTGAAAGTTTTTGTTAAAACTATGAGGATGGTCTCAAAGATCATGTGTATCAATTTTCACATGTTGTTATCATTCCTAAGTAAAGTTATAGTTTTAAAACAGTTTGTTTGCCGCATCAATTATACATATGATGTACATGACTGAAAGTGTACTTTCAGAGATTGCGCAATCATACTTTTGTTTTGTGCTTAACTTGAAGGTTATAAGAAGTGTTTAACAGCGCTTCCTTAGCTTGTACATTTGTCCAGTCTTAAGGGGCAGTATTACCTCAACCATCCCATTCTATGCTTTTAACTTTTTAAATCCTTATAACTCATCTATTCTATTCTATGATCTTTCCCCAAAAAACTGTTTTAACGCAACGTTTCTTTCTACGGTCTCTCACTAAAAAACTATTTTAACTCATCTGTTTCAGTCTATGATCATTCACCGACCAATTGTTTTAACCCATCTGTTTCATTCTACGATCATTCACCGACAGATTGTTTTAACCCATCTGTTTCATTCTACGATCATTCACCGACAGATTGTTTAACTCATCTGTTTCATTCTACGATCATTCACCGACATATTGTTTTAAACTCATCTGTTCCATTCTACGATCATTCACCGACAGATTGTTTAACTCATCTGTTCCATTCTATGATCGTTCACCGACAGATTGTTTTAACTCATCTGTTCCATTCTATGATAATTCACAGACAGATTGTTTTAACTCATCTGTTCCATTCTATGATAATTCACCGACAGATTGTTTTAACCCATCTGTTTCATTCTACGATCATTCACCGACATATTGTTTTAAACTCATCTGTTTCATGCCACTTCTTTACCACGATGTCTACAGCTTTTTCCATAAGTACAGTTGAGACAGAAAGTAGTTATCCTCTTTATTTTATGTTTTTAAATCAACAAGAGTATCTGAACTTATCACTTTCATATTGAAATCTTTAGCTATAAAACTAATTGAAGTTTCTAGTTTTATCTTACTCTCCTTACTCACCAAGCTGTTTGAAATTATTTGTTTCATTCAATATTATAGACATCACACTTTATAAGTTATATGCTTCATTCCATGCTCTTTAATCATCAAAATGTTTGAAGTTACCTGCTATTTTCTGTGTTATTTAACTACTGAAATATCTGCAATTACCTGATTTTTTCTGTGTTTATTAGCTACTGAAATGTCTGAAGTTACTTGTTTCTTTCCATGCTCTTAAGCCACTAAACTGTCTGAACTTACCTGCTTTTTTCTGTGTTTCTTAATTATTGAAATGTACGAAGTTATCTGCTTCTATCCATGTTCTCTTTAACTACTGAACTGTCTGAAGGTAGCTGTTTCTTTCTGTATTCTTTAACTACTGAACTGCCTCAAGTTATCCAATACTATCTGTATTCTTTAACCATGAACTGTATGAAACTACCGTTTTCTTTCTGTGCACTTCATCTCCCTGATGTTATATCTTCATGTGATTTTCTTTAACAAACAAACTTTCTTCATTTTATGCTATCCAACCACCAAGCTGTCTCAAGTAAAGTTATCTATTTCATTATATTCCATTTTAACGGCTATACTGTCTGAGGTGTTGTTACCTTCTCTCCAATGCATCCAATAAACTATCTGATTTAATTTTTTCATCACATGTTCTCTAAAAGTCAAACTCTTGAAGTTATTTACTTAATAACAACAGAAACTCCACCGGTACCTACTGGCGAGCTACGCAGTCTACTTACTTAATAACAACAAAAACTCCACCGATACCTACTGGCGAGCTACGCAGTCTACTTACTTAATAACAACAAAAACTCCACCGGTACCTACTGGCGAGCTACGCAGCCTACTTACTTAATAACAACAAAAACTCCACCGATACCTACTGGCGAGCTACGCAGTCTACTTACTTAATAACAACAAAAACTCCACCGATACCTACTGGCGAGCTACGCAGTCTACTTACTTAATAACAACAAAAACTCCACCGGTACCTACTGGCGAGCTACGCAGTCTATTTACTTAATAACAACAAAAACTCCACAGGTACCTACTGGCGAGCAACGTAGTATATTTACTTTTTATTGTTCTGTAACGCGAGTAAATATTTTATCAGTTTATTAAGATTAATATGGTCAATTAGCGTAGGTAATTAACTAAAATATAGAAAAATTATTCCTATAACTTTTTGTAAACAATGGGCTTTCTTTTGTCTAAGAGGACGGGAAAAAAGTTTTTCTTTTCAAATTTCAACTTACTACACGTACATCTACAAATAATACTAAAAAAAAACACTATTTGTCAAACCTTTTTTTAGCATATTCAGTTTCAAAATATAGGGGCAACGACTATCATAAGTACGCTTTAAAAGAAGACAAACAGAACCACTAATTGATGTTTACACGGCTAACACTCGGCACTAGGAAACATCAACGATGAATATGAATATCAACATAACATATGGTAACTTTTTTACTCGAAAGCCCATGCACTGCTTTATTATAAGGTCGAAATTAAATGATAGAATATTTAGAAAACTATGATTTGGACAGTTTCGAAAACAGAACACGAAGGTAAAACACAATGTGTATTATATGTTGTAAAAAGTGCTCGTAAATTTTCTTTACATTTTTTATACATAAAAAGCTTGGGCTCTATGGTTTGTTAGTATACTATATCGTGAACCTTAACGATCAGCACATTTAAAAAATCAAACTTTTATTGTATAACGCTTTAACTTGAAGTACTTCTTACATGTGTGTAACAAACGTTATTTCATTAAGACTGCAAACAAGCATGTAACACCATCTTAAAATGTAGAACACAGTGAAAATGTTTCAAATTTGTATTTTATATAAACCTACAAATAAGACATCTTCTGCGAAGTAGCTTTCTTGGCTTCTAAAAAAACTTTGTTTATTACTAAAATTATAGTCATAGAAGTCTCAATTATTCAATGTTGACGGATTCGCACGTGCTACACACAAGTCGACATAACCTATATTGACGAGTGTTTGTAAAATCATTTATCGGATATTTTATAGTTTTAAATCAACTATTTGTGAGCCGAACAGTTTAATAACCTTACAAGTTTATGCTTTTAAGCTATAGAATGAGCAAATAAAAAGCTATACTTTACAAACTAATTTAATTTTAATAATACTTTTACTTAAACGAAGTTTTACCTTAATTCTCCTTGAGTTTTTATGACATAAAATCTTCACAGAAACGGATTGGGTTCACTTATTGTTGTTGATGGATAGGTTTTCGAATAACGTAGCTGAGACAAATTTATACTTTTTGAATATTTTCTCACAAGTTCCTACTCTCTCATAGAAACCACAGCCCAATCTCTCACCACCAGTAACCGCGTTTCTTCTCTAAGATGGACGCAACTGAATAACGTCGGTTACAGCTCCCAGAACTAAACGAGTCACGTGATTTCCTCGTTCCCTACAAAACGCGCTAACCTCACCATGATGGTTAGCTGCTTGCTTCTCATACTTCATGTGGCATGACTCGCTATTAAAATCAGAAACGTATATCACTTCAAATGACAATAAATATAACGAAATATATATATATTAAAATGTTCAAGTTCAGGTTACACACAGAGAACATTTAATAAAACGTTTACTGTAAGCTCTAATCTGTTGTAGTTAGAGAAAAAGTGTCTTCATTAAAATATGTTTGTATGAATAAACATAAGTAAACCTATGCTTTACTGCTTGTGCCTTCAATATTTTATATTATTATTAATATTTATTGCACTAATTATTTTATCGGATATCTACTTTTTTAGATTTTTATGGTAATAATTGGTTTGTATTTTTCTTTTCAATTAAACTTTTTTAAGCAACATTCTATTTTATTTTTGAAAAGTACCACACAAGAATTATTAAACAAATCATCTGGAAACCGATTGTGTGTAGGAAAATTAATCCACGACTATATTGTAATAAGACGAATAAATTCACTGTCATGTTTTAATAAAACACCCATAGCTTACTGTGAGTTAGATTTGGCATTTCTAGACGTTTTCACGATCTGTGGGTCGCGGGTTCGAATCCCCGTCACACCAAACATGCTCGCCCTTTCAGCCGTGGGGGCGTAATAATGTGACGGTCAATCCCACTATTCGTTGGTAAAAGAGTAGCCCAAGAGTTGGCGGTGGGTGGTGATGACTAGCATCCTTCCCTCTAGTCTTACACTGCTAGATTAGGGACGGCTAGCGCAGATAGCCCTCGTGTAGCTTTGCGCGAAATTCATAACAAACAAACACTCATACAACTGACTGGGCAACCTA